GTCTAGCTAGATGTTGGAGAATCTGCCATAGAGATTTCTAGTTCGTTCAGGCTCTACTAGCGTAGCAACCCGTTACAACTATATATTTGAGGGCAAATACCCCAAATATTCAAGGGGAATTAAATATTTCAGGTTACGAATAATCCTTGAAACGTCTTGGATAACTTCTTGAAATGTTAAAAACTACCCTTGACGAATATAGAAAGGAAATATCATATGAAAAAGGCCTGAATGTACAAACATGGGTCAATTATCTCTTAAAAAACTGAAAAAATTTCTATATACGTTGGTTTAGCAGAGCGTTATCCCTATCCTATAATAAAACAGAAATGTCAAGCAACAGCTGTTGAAACTTTGGCCTTTTTGAGATATAAATGGTTATTAATTGCAGGCAGTGCAAAGATATTCAAATGTTTTATTGGGCCAGTAATCGTCATCCATTTACCTACATCTATATATCGAGGGAAGGATAATAATTGATTAAAGGTTTGAGCAAAGATATTAGGATTTCATGGCACAAGAAAAAAAAGTGCTAAAAGAATGACAGTGTATCGGATTGCTACACTGGTAAAGCCCAAATGACTCAGAAATCTCTGTGGCAGATTCTCCTACATCTAGATAGACTCCCAGAACTAGCTAAGCTATAGCCCAGCTATAGAGGAAACAGACATATATCACGAAAACGCTTATTCAGTAAGTATTTTATGGATAAAGTGTACACACATGGAGCTTAGTCATAATCAACATGGCGGATTGGGCTAAACAAACGGAGGTTTCTGATTGGCCACTGGTTGTACGGTTGCTCCACTCGGAGCTGTACGGCCGCACCTCCCGATCCTGGCGGGCGTGCAACAGAATAAGCTCCTTTGAAAAAAATCACCGCACAACAACAAGGACAACGATAAAATCTATAGGCCGATCTTCACTGAGAAAATTGAAGTTCCTAAACATTATGCTTACATGGTAATAATTAACATTGTCACCATCTACTCAGGTAAGGCTTAAAATTCTGATATTAGAATTAACAGCTCAGGAGTATTTCATGGTTACCATTACCAGGTCACAAATAAAATCAGCTTCAGTACTTCCAGCTCAAAAAATAAGACGCATTTTATGTCCGAAAACAACCACAAAGAGTGAAAACTTTAAATAAGCCGAGAAATTTAAAATACAAATTGGAGTTACGAATTCCTTCGCAAATTTCAAGAGTCTTTAATAGGATGTGGTTCTTCGGCAGGTTCCTAAGGAAAATGGAGCGGTTACTTTGCTTGATTCATGCGTACTGTTCACAAAACTATGCTGACTACGATTTTTACATGCATCTCTGCAACTGGAAGGTCTTTAACCAAACCTTTATTTACTTACATCAAGTGGGAAGCTTTGTTGACTTCGGTCTTTTCAGAGGGAAGGGACATCGAAGTAACGGAAAGTCGAGGGGTGGGGAACAGAAGAGTGATTCACAGACGTAAAAGAGACAGATAGACACAAAGGCAGAGAAAAGGTAGAACAAGTACGGTGGAAGTGATCGAATAAGTGGGGTCATGGTAGTTTGAAGTGAGAAGTCAACTGCTGATTAATAGACCCTTTATGCCGTATGAGTATACGTTGCCCAGGATGCACCATGTGGAGGTAAGTCTATCGCACACCCCTTTAACCAAACATAGACATTTCCATCCGCAATCGTGAGCTTTACGGAAGCAAATTCATGCAGGCATTTCTGAGCGTTGTTTTACGTTTCAAGGTTATTTAATTCAGCACATTTTTACTGACAAGTTCATTCTTCAATGAGTTATTCATCTTAACTAGTCTAATATTGAGGTTGCCTTGAGGACAAACTTTATCATATTTATAAAACTACTTTGAGTTAACATATGCATCCGTGATTCATGAGAGCACATCTTCATAGCATAGCATTACGCATATTCACGGACTCTGGGGGCCACTCAAACAACTAAAAGGGGTTTCGAGAGGTTTAAGAAAGGGCGTATTTGTGGAAATTAAGAAAAGATTGTGAAAAATGGCAAATGGAGTTAAATTTCACACCAAAAAGATTCAATTTATTCACAAAAGCAGTGGAAAGAAAATAACAGTAATAATAAAATATGTAATCCATGTTTATTTATTGTTATTATTGCAGTATCCAGAATAACCAAGTCTGGACAAAATTTGTGCCGAAATAATCTTAGGTTGAAGTGTTGAATCGACTAACAATACGTTTTCTTCCTCGCTGCTTGGAGGTTCAAGGGTGTCTAATTGGCTTTGAACTAAGCAGGATGGCAAAAAATGGTCTTTCCTTGAACTAACCCGCTCTACCAAAACATCCTTGGGACAATTGAGGAAGACGAAAAGAACACCAGAATTGGGAGGTTGGTCGAGAACTGCTCTGTACTGGCGCTTCAATGCGGAGCAGGTTGCCACAACAAAGGCTGATGACTGTCGAGCTTTGGAGATAGCACTGTGAAGAGCGAGTAACCATAGTTGACGGTCGTTATCAGTTAAAGGTATACCAGAAGCCATCTTGGCAACGTTTTCCGGTGAATGGTAATCGTCACCTTCGAGGTAGGTACAATTTGTAAGAAGATGAAGGCAATTAGCCACTGTCGTCTTTCCACAGCCAGATGGGCCCATAATAATAACCGTCGCCATTTTCGCCAGAATTTGAAAGGATAAAAATTGTTTCTAATACTAGAATAAGATGAATAAGTTGCTCTTACAAATCCGAATGCGGTAACACCACTTGGGTTGCCTTGAATTGTATTATTGCCGGGTGTAACTTTCAAATTATTTCAAAGGAAATCAATTTTTTCACGACATTAAAAATGGGAATAATTAAAATTTAAGCACTGCTTGTTGTGTGGCCTTGCAAAATTAATTATTTCGTAATAAGCGTTTCACAGAGCATTTTACGACGCGGGTTAGCACAATCTCTAATCGATGAGACTTTTGCCTTCATTATTCCCACCCTTTATGCCTATCTACTTAGAACTAATCAAAGATGAAAGGAGTTCAAGAACAAATGAGCTTTTAAAATACGCTATAACTAAAGTCAATAAAAATTCTAACATATCATCGATAATCACACACACACACCTTTATTCTCACACTGTTAATTACCTTGTTGATCATAGGATGTTGGCACCGGCCTAAGCGAAGCCACCCATGTAAAGACAGCGCAAAAGAATACAAATTCAACCTAATTCCAATTGATAATTAAAGAGCGAGTGAACAGAGTTAAGGGGAAGAGCCGATTAGGGAAAGATCGCCAGCCCACTAAGTCAGCTTTCTCCGCGGCAATTGAATATGGCAAGTGAAAAAGGGTGTATGTGTGTGTGTGTGTGTGTGTGCGTGGGTGCGTGCGTATGCTCAATGATGGGGGG